ACGTTTTTATTCAACAAAAATTGTATTAAAAAAAAAAAAAAACTTTTGAATGGTCTATTTTTCAAAGAATTACAGTCATCCAGAAATCCAGAAAATGGTCAACACAAAATAAATGACCAATGCAAGTATTTCTCAAGCACCTAATCAGCACATTACAAAGGTTTCCGAAAAATCATGGGACATTGTAGACTATAATGAATAATGAATGATAATGATAAGAAAATGGCTGCTGAAGATTCAGCTTTGTCATCGCTGAGATTAATGAAATATTAAAGTGCCCAATATGCCATTACAAACATTTGTTTTAGAAGTCACTTAACAAACCTTTCAAATCAGTTAATATTTCAAAGAGCCTCAAACAGCTAGATTTAATCTCTCTAAACCTCTCCTTTCCACAAGCCTACTCTGCTCTGATTGATGTCTCAACAATAAAATGCTTCGTTGCAACATGATGTTGACAACACAATCAACTAAAGCATCTGAGGGGACGTTAAATTCTTAAATAGCCAATTAAGAACATAGGCAGGCAAGTCAAGTGAAATTGGAACTGTTGGAGACTCGCTTCAGCAGTTCAGAATCAGTTCTTTCTTTGAGAAGGCTGTAGCTTGTGTGCGTCTTGCGCACTTTGTTATAAACTTTGCAGACCTTTTCCATTCCCACAACAGATACACTAAAAATGCATGAAAGGTCATGTAAAAAATAGGGCAGTTTAGAATGTATTAAACTTGAAAGCAGATATCTTATATTACATCAAAATACATTTGAAAGATGGCATATTCTTTTAATTACCTTGGAGTACCACATGCATATCATAACCCCTGTGGTACCAGGATACTGCCATAACCCTTTATATCAGGGGAAAGAACTTGAAGGGCTTCCATTCTTCTGGAAACAGCAGCCACAACACTGCCATTCAGTCAATACAACACATGACTAGAGCGCATCCACAGACAGCCCTTTAATAATGGCCATGACGTAACCAAGCCATCCTATCAGAGTAAGCCAACATAGCCAGAAACCTTCTATTGCTACATGGTTTGAATATACAGTAGCCCACACAATGCTTAAGACTAAAGATGAATCCAAAATCACATACTTGTCCAATATTCTATGGCACTTTGAAGTATAAATAGTGCAAGTAGAGAATTCACATCCAAAAATTAAATAATAGAATGAGTGCAGATGATTTACTCATTCAACCGGTTAAAATGAGTGTAGAAAGTGAAAATGCACTCAACAGACGCAGCTTTGCTTACAAAGCGAGAGAGGAGGAGTTATTTGGCACAAAGGTTGGATTGCATTATTTATTTTAGCACTGTAAAACCAAAATTCTCTTACAAAAACAATCACACCATCTCCAAATGCTGAATGTGGATTATTTATTTTATTAAAATGGCATCAAATGAACAATTTGAATTACATAAAAAAACTTTAGTGTATAGTATGGTGATTCATTTAAAACACAACTTGGTCTATGTACTTCTAGGTCCAGCCGCAAATGAATTAATTTTACAAGATATCAAAGATCAGTGCATCATATTTACTGACCCATTAAATCTGTTCCAAATTCTGAGAAATAATAGTTTCAGCCACATCTAATAAATGACACGACAGACATGTTGTGCAGAGAGGAAGTGTTTCAGGCGAGAAAAACAACTAATAATTGGAGATCGTTTATGTGGTGTATAACTGACCACAAAGTTCCCTTCAAAACAAAAAGTCTCTATGTACCACGACTTGGTAGCTAGAAATATCTGAATACCAGATATATTCAGACATGCAGAATAGTGTACTTGACTCCCAACAAAATATACAGGTTTACAATCTAATTAATGAATATTTAACCCCATTAACATTATTAAAATTCAATGCTGAGTGACTGATGTTGGAGTCACAGTTCTAAAGTTCATGTTTAAACCACGTTTTCTAGTTATTTTGTTTTTTTAGATTTGCAGGTAAACAATCTGCTGGTGCTTTCATTTTTCAAACTCGCATTTTTAGTATATTAAACTAAATAAAAGCACATAATTATTCGGCACCTGAGGGGATCCTTGTCATGGTAGGTTACACTTTTGTTCCAGCCGCTACGTCGCTTCGCAGAAACAGAATAGAAATTTTTCACCTGGTTGGGACAAAACTCCTTTTAAAACGATTTAATTATGTGCCGCTGCATTGTGAAAATGTGAAAAGTATCGAGAACATGCGCAACCAATTGATGTTACAAGATTTCTCCCTTGTGTGCTGTTGAGGATGTTATTATCCACTCTGGAGTGATTATGAGGCTTAATTTGGCCACAACTTTCTCTGTGTTTCAGCAAATGGAATGTTTTTTGGTGTCAAATCTTATTTTGACACATATTTTAAGACAACGCTTTGGAATTTTAAAAAAAAACTCTATGCACTCTAGTCAAATTTACTACCCTTTTGTTATGTTAGTGGCTGTTTTTGACATATTGACTTCCATTGTAATGACATTTTTTATTACAAAGCCATGAAACCATATAATGATGCATTCTTTATTTTAGTGGTTTTCCGTTAGGAAGAGGTTAAATTTGTCATTTTTACAGTTGATCATCAGTTACGGTGCAAAAAAAGCGTAGACTCTGGCTTCTGTATAGCGTATAGTGTGCCAACTGATGATCAACAGTAAAAATTACAAATTTGACCTCTTCCCAACAGGGAAAACAACCAACCATTAAAAGTGCATGATTATGGTGTCAAGGTTGTGCAATCAAAAAAATGTCAGTTTAATGGGTCAATGGGGCAAAAACAGTGATTAACCAAACGAAAGGGTAGTCAATATGAACAACGCACAAGGGATAAAGCAATAGCAATATGAACAATCAGTATTATTTTATACACCAACATGCCATAGGATAAGACATGGATAATGCCTCAAAACAACTTGTCTAGCGAGAAAAAGAAACAAGTGTTCTAAATTAGAAGAAAATATCAAACATGCCTCTGACTGGACGGAATCAAAGTCCAAACCCTGGAATCAAAGTCCGTGCTCATCATAGACTACAAGATTTTCTATTTGACCTGTCAAGTCAAACCTGCAGACTGACTCTGATGTTTGGCAACTAGCATCTGGACAAAAGCCATATAGTGAATCATAGCCTTTAGTGAACCAGAGGAAAAACAGAAGTGATGAAAGCCAAAAACAAAAGCAAGACCATAGTACATAAACAGAAAGCTTTAGTTGTGTCTGAGTTGCCATGTTTTACGCACTATGCACTAAACTGTCTTAATTTGTAATTCATCATTCTATACGTAATTACCTAATTACAATCTGAGACTGCTCAACAAACTCTATTTGAAAACTTAAAACATGAGAATTGATTTAGGAAATAGAGATCACAAGCATAAGAGCAAGGCTGAATTTATTACTGTCAAAAAAAAGTTGCCTGCAAAAAGCCTGTGATTCAAGATGTCTGTGCACAGAATGTACTCACACTAGCTGCCCATTAGCTGTAATCTTTGTGGTGTGTTTAAAGTGCAGTCGACACCAAAGTTTGCTTTTACTGCTGCTAGTTGTCTTTGATGTCGATTTGGTGTGTCTGGGCTTTAATAAATGCAATGCAAGCTAAATTAATTAGCAAACTTCACAAGCAATATCCTCAGGGTACTTACAGAGGAGAAACAAAAAAATGCTAAATTTAAAACTCAACTGTTTGAACATCAAATGCCATTTCCAAAGCTGATTTCCATGCACCTTACAATAATACATCATCTATTATTCTGCATAAATCAGAATAAACTGCTCATAAAAGCATTACATGTAGTCTAAAACAACTTTTATTTTAACAAATAAATAAAATAATACGTTATCATTATCTTGCTTTTTGTCCATACTGTTTAGTTTACTTTTGATGAACCGCAGAAATTCTAAAATATTATAATCAAAATATGAGTCCTGTTAAATAGACATAGACTTCTGTTTGAAGGTTTTTAAAGGAATTTAAACTTTTATTCAGCAAAAAAATTGTTTAAAAGTGATGTTAAAAAAAATAAAAATATCATTTTTAGCTAAGTAGTATAATTTACCCAGTCATCACTTATTCCGCTTCGTCCAAATCAGACATTTTATACAGAAGCAGTTCTCTCATTTCCCCCACCGACCCCCTGAAATGCATATAGATAATTTCATTGATTTGAATGCCACTTATAAACATTTGATTTCAGTTATTTATCATTTAATAAATTCAATTAATGCTGATCCTTCTAATGCATTTAAGGATACTTGGGATCGAGATCCATGAGGTTCTATGACAGGATCTATGGGCTAACATTTTAGCCCAGGTGCATTCCTCTTCATTCTGTGCTAGGCATGGTTTGCTAGGCCTGCCAATTACACCTGGTAACATTTACCTAAGTTTTTATTATTATTATTATTATTATTATTATTATTTTACCCATCTGTATCTAGTTATTCTCTGATGTCATGTACTTATCTATTCAATGTACTTAATTTGGTATTTATCTATGTATTGATTTATTTTTGTTCGGATAATTGAGTTAATGAATGAGATGTTAGGGGATGGGATTAACAATGGACAATATATTACCGTTTACCTCTCAGTATTTAATTTTTAGTCATACAAAAGATCAATGGAAAAGATTGAAATAAAAATAATTAAAATGCTACATAAGGCTTCCATTTCAAACCAATTGTTTCTTTTATTTGTTTTCATCAAGTAAAACCCTGATTAAATATATTTCTTGGGCACTAAATCAGCCTATTAGAATTCTTTTGTAGAATCATGTGACACTAAAATCTGGAAAAGTAACTATTGAAAATGCTTTAAAAGGATTATTTTACTTATTAAAATTGAAATAGAAACAAAAATCACCAATGCCAAATTTTGAAAGATAATGTAACCATGTTAGCTGATTATGTGTTTTGCCTATGCAGACTATATAATCATTCAATGTAGATTAATTACTGATAAGGTCTTCTTGCAAGTCTGTATGATGTGATGCACATTAAACACACAGACCTGTCCTGAGGAGGCCAGCAGGTTGATGGTGGTCAGGAGCATCCAGCCCCGACTCGTCTCCTCGCTCTGATTTACCTCCAGAAACTGCACAATGGCTCTGCTGGCTGCCTCTGAGGGAGGGGCACAAACACACACACACACAAATCAGAATCACTGAAGCGTTTAACAGTCTGTGCATGTGGATCAAATCCATTTTCACACGTCAGCTAGTGTGTGACTGGCCTCATCTGGGGAAGGACGGGGAGTCAATTAGAGGTGATGACATGCAGGCGCTTTCATTTCTCATTCACCCATCGCCGCCTTTTTTTAAGATACAATACTGTGCCACTCCAGTGAATTCACAAAAGACAAGGTTTACTCAAAGAATATTATTTTCTGCTTCGAAGGGAACATAATTGTGCAATTACCTTTTAAAACCCAATGTCACAGAAAAAATGACAGTACATGTCATGTGCAAAACAAACTGAATATTATTGGTATTTTACATGTCGCTTTTTGCCGAATCAATATTACGTCTATAGTTTAAAAAGAGCAGGTCGTAAACATAAGATGGTTTAATAAATGCTTGAGCACTTGCTCCGCAGTATGTCATGATGAGATGCTCAATCTGGTGTTTATGACCGGTGCAGCATATGCTGTCACTGTGGATTATATAACCAAAAATAAACATTACTGCACTTCATGTGCCAAGACAAGCTGCCAGCGAACAGTGCGGACAACTCTGAAACTATAATGCCCAGATTGACTTGAATAATGAAGCTTTTTAAGCAAGTATGCACTGGTATGAAGTATGTATAAATCAGTATAAAAATCTTCATCTTGATGAATGCGCTTGTTATGTGTGACATCATGCAAAGCGGCTTATCAAATGATAATAATAAACATTTACAAAGCGCTGTGATACTTATGAAAATCACCATCGCAATGTACATTTCCATGCCTAATATCCGATGGCCAGAAAGTGATTATTTTTGATAAATTGTTAAACTTTAACAGGAAGGCACAAAATATGATGATATACAGATGTAGACAAAATTGTTGGTACCCTTTCATTAAAATAACTTGAAACAAACAAAAAAATGATTAATCAATCAGATATTGCATTTGAATTGTTGATCAATAGAAGCATTAAAAAAAGCAAACTGGCCTGCATAAAATTACCAACAATTTTGTCCATGTCTGTATATTGTACAGAGAAAATAAAAAGTCAATCATTTCAAATTAAGCTGGATCATTTATTTTGCAGTATAACAAAATAAATGGCTTACAGTCATATTTTTCATTATTTTAATATTACAATTTTAGATTTTGGGGCAATTAGCAAAGTAATAAGCGAGATAAAAGTACATCTAGGTCCCCAATCTCGATCCCTGCAGGGTTTAACTCAAACTTGCCTCAACACACCTGCCTGGATGTTTCAAGTATACCTAGTGGTTGTTGCTAGAGCGGATACGTTTGCGGTCGGAAGTAAACGCAAATTATTTCTATTATTTAATAAATTTCTCATTTGTTTTATTTTATTAACGTCTACCCCCACCCCAACCCTAAACCCAACCCTCACAGTAATGTAAAAACTGTAGTTGTAGAGTATTAGTTATGTTATCTATTAAATTACCCAATAAAATGTAATTTTAACACCTACCCCCACCCAAACCCTCACAGTACTGTAAAAATATTAATTATTGTTATACAGTGTCATAAAAAAATGCTGCTTTATTAATGTGCATATCGCACTTCCGGCCGGCCACATATCCGATCTAGACTTTACCATACCTAGTAAGACCTTGATTAGCTTGTTCAGGTGTGTTTCATTAGGGTTGGAGCTAAAATCTGCAGGACACCGGCCCTACAGGAACAAGTTTGCTGACCACTGATCTAGGTGGTTGCTCAAGCTTTCACAAATCCTTTGAGTTTTATTCTGCAAGAACAAACATAGTTTCATTATAAGCATTTATTTGAAAATAAAATGAATGGCAACAACAAATTGATAAAAAAATACGTTTTGGAGTATGATAAACATGTTTTAGCGTGCTCTCTCAAAACACATACCATTACAATCGTGTTTAGTCAGTAATTGGTCTTTTGTGGTAAGTAAATGCAGTCAACCACATGACTGTCTACACTGAAATGGTAATGATTAATTAAAAATAAAAATCAGATACGTGTTGATCAAGAGAAGCATTAAAATAAGCAAACTAATGCAACTAATGGCCTGAATAAAATTACCAACAATTTTGTCCACGTCTGTATATTGTACAGACAAAAAAAGTCTATCATTTCAAATTAAGCCTAAACATTTATTTTAGGGTATGAAAAAAAATTCCTTACGGTCATATTTTTCATCATGTTAATATTACAACTTTAGATTTTGGTTCAATTAGCAAAGTAATAAGCTAGATAAAGAACATCCAGGTTCAGGCTTATACAAATCCTTTGGATTTTATTATGTTAAAAAAAACAACCACATTTTGATGTACAAAAAAAATGGATGGCAACAATGATTTAATCAAAAATGTTAAGTTTTGGAGTATTATAATGAAGTACAATAACTATGTTTCAGTGTGCCCGCTCAAAAGACTTGCCATAACAATCATGTGTTAGGTCAGGAATTAGTCTGTATATTGCACAGACAAAAAAAAGTCTAATAATAATAATTTCAATACTATGCTCTCATTTATTTTGGGGTATAACAACATTAATTGCTTACGGTCATATTTTTCACCATTTTAATGATTGAAAATCTTACAATTTTAGGTTTTGAGGCATTTAGTAAAGGAATAAGTGGGATAAAGTACATCCAGGTGGTTGTTCAGGCTTGTACTAATCCTTTGGATTTTATTCTGTGATAACAACCACAGTTTAATGTACAATATCCCGTACCTATTTCATAGTAATCTTTTATATGAAAATAAGATGGATGGTAACAATGATTTGATTTGAAAATGAACCTTTGGAGCATGATAACAATGTTTAAGTCTGCTCTCTCAAAACACGTACCATAACAATCATGTCTGAGGTCAGTAATTGGACTTTTGTGGTTAAATAAATGTAATCAACCACATCACTATCGTGGGATTGAAATCCGATCAAATGTGTTTAACAAGTTAACAAGCTCAAAACAGTTTAGACCTCATTTATGTATTTAGCGTTGTTCACACTCCGTGGTTAGAGTCACATTCAAGGCCCTTTCAAGGACTCTCCAGGTCCAATACCCTAAAATTCAAGGACTTGATGTGTGGAGTAGAAACATTTCAAGTGACAGCAAGGTTACATTGTTTTACTTTGTAAGACACATTGTAAGATACATCGTGTCATATACAACTATGCAAAAAACTATGACCATGACAGAGATCTGATATTCTACTTGTCAGTTTCCTGTTTTGCATAAATTGGAGAATATTTGGTATTTCCTTTACTGCATTCTAAAATGATCTGATATTAACATTTGCATGCATTTAATTGAAAATAGCTTAGGCTCATTGGAACCAGAAGTTTTATAATACATGCACATGCTTTTGACTCATGGATTTTCATTATCCTAACAATCAAAGCAAGTCAGCATTTAATAAAATATTGGCATTAAGTAAAAATGTCATCTGCGCGTCAATGTTCCTCACACAGGAAACACTTAACATAACATGTCAATGCATGTAACTAACATAAATCAATCAAACTAATGTGCAAAAGCAATCAAGTGTCGGTGAAATAACACATTAGCAGACCAGAGAGAATAATATATCTTTTTTTTCCAGAATATGCACTGCACAAAATAAATTCAAGCACTTTGAATGACCTGTATGTATGTTTTATTTTAAAAAAAACAATGAAGGGCCTTGAATTCCTTTTCGTAGAACTTTCAAGGATATCAAAGAAACCCTAGCAATAAAAATGCATTTTAACATCAGGTCTAAACAAGGCCTAAAATAACCCTATATACCATCATTTATGGTATACAAAAAAACATCTTAAGCTTTTTATGTCAAGAACGCCAGTGTATGCAAATTAAAGTACCTGTAGATTTATTGGATGCCCTCCGTCTGATCTCAGTCACCATAAGTCTGGACACTTGTGTGGTGAACTGCAGCAGGTCTGAAAACTTCTCATTCATGGTGCTCGGTGGAGCATTCCCAAACACCTGTAACACACACAAACAACATTAACACAGCTCAAACACCCTCCTTTTCATGCAAGCCTCTGCAAAGATGGAGACCTGTTGAGTTAAAGCTGAAACTGAATCAGAAAATCACTCTCCTGATGTTCGTTTGTAGTTATTCAGCTTTCACAGCAGAACAGATAAGACATGAAGTCTGAAAGCTCCCCTTCAGCAGGCCTATCATTTTAGTATATACCACAAACATTCATAAGCATCACAAGCCTGCCACATTTAAATCTATAACATCAGTACAAAAACAGGAGAGACATACCACACTGTTAATGCTAATATGCATCATTTCTGATGGGTCTTTAACACTCATTCAAGTATGACAGTAAACAGAGAGGCTTGTTTCATCCCACTCAACAAGTGCACTCCAAACGCATGGATGCTGCAGCAGGTCAGAGCTCTTTTATACACAAGGATGAGGTCATTCGCAGTGTTTCTGAATAATCAGTGCTGGATGATTAGCGCCATCATGCTCTTCTGCAGCCTCTGAGAGTCACTTGATGTCATAATGACTACTAAGCCATTGTAAATTAAAGTACTAGTCATCACTGGTTTTCTTTTCATTGTTTTGAACTAACAGCAAAAGTATAGGGTAAATTACTTGGCTAAAAAAAACTGTGATTTAATTATTTAATTTAACATGAGTATAAAATGATTAGCTGTTTTAGGAAGGACACATTTTTAATGGTCTAACATTTTAATAATAAAATGATTTAAGTGTACATAAGCATTCAAAATGTTGGAATCAGTACAATTTTTATTTTACTCACCAAAATATAATGGAAACGGAAATATATTGAGAATAATTACTCATTGACTCATGCATCGGCTTAGTCCCTGATTTATCAGGGGTTGCCACAGTGGAATGAACCGCCAATTACTCTGGCACATCGTCACCTTGGAATTATAAGGTTCTATCTGCTTTGTGAATGGCCTTAAGATATTGAGCTTCAAAGTTTCTGCATTCCATAGCAAACAGTAATTGTGTAACATTTTTTTATATATATAAAAGTAAACAACTTCTAAAAAAAACATGCCATAATGTAAATAAGTTGTCATTTAATAAGAATATTTCAATTACTCAATTTTGACAAAAATGTCAGATAGAACTTTATAATTCTAAGGTGACGATAAGAATGACGACAACCCAACAGAAAACAATTGTTTTAATATATGTATATAATATATTTTTTTAACTAATTATTCCAATGCTGTCAAAGCTGAATTTATAGCAGCCATGCTCAGGGTTTCTGCAGGTTCCACCAAGTTAAATTTAAGACTTTTAAAGACATTTTTAAGACCATTTTGAATGAAATGTTAGACTTATAAAAGGGCTAAACAATGCTAAGGAATTTTTCAAATGGCCCAAATTTAAAATATTTTCATTTGCCCTATCAAAAACAGTTATTATAATTTAATATATTTAATAACATAATAATAATAATTTAATGATAAAAAATTATATATATTTTTATTATTAAATTCTAATAAATTATAAATTAATTCTAATAAATAATAATAAATTAAATCAATTTTTCTACATTTCACCACATATGGACACCCTACTTGACTACATTTCTGTTACTTTGTATAAACACTTATAGGTGCTCTTGTTTTGCTTAAAACAAGAATTCTCTGTCTGTGCTTATATATTCTCTTCTACTTCATTCCTGTTTTTTTTCTTCGCCATTTTATGAAGAACTTTGTATTTTATACCTGCTTAGCTGTCTGTTTTGTTTAAAAAAAAAGACTCAATAAAAAATTTCTGCCCTACATTTTTGTGAAAATGCGATTTTCTCAGAAACAGAAAAATCTAACGAACAGTCTATTATGATCTTCCTATCTGAAATTAAAAAAATAAATAAGCAGCAAGAGTTTTAGCATTAGCTTATTTAGCTTTAAAACTGCAACCAATGCATTGCTATTATACCTCAGTCTTATATTTAATGCCTTTTGAATGTTTTTTTTCCTACCAGAGAGGCTTGAATCATTGATTATTTTAATTTTTTACTTTATTTTTAAACTGTACTTTCACTATATTTCCTAATAAATCACATTTTTCTGATGCAAATGAGCTGACAATGCTGTCTCTTTGAATAAGCAGCCACCTCTCTCTCTCTCTCTCTCTCTCTCTCTCTCTCTCTCTCTCTCACCCGATTGAAAACAGGCAGCATCATATAAAGCTTCTCCTCCTGCTCTTTCTGTGTCATGTGGCGCGGCGGGTGGCAGAGCTCAGAGAAGAGGCGGCGCAGGTGCATCAGTCCCAGCGCGTTGTCCTGTGGGCTGCACTCCTCCTGCCGTGGCCTTCCCATGATCCTCTTCACCATATTCATCTTTAGAGGCTTCTTGAGGCCGAAGCCAGCCCTGAATCAGACACAAAAGAGAGGTTTTGTCATTGAAAATGGAAAAAAGGGAGGATAGAAGGGTGGAAAAATATCGAGATGTCAGGGAAATTGACTGTGGACTGTGAAAGTCCACTTTTAATGTGATGTGATATGCTAGCTTCCAATTGCAGATCAAATTCAGCCTATTTTATTTATTTTTGCAGTGAGCTGCTTCTGTCTGATCATCACTGTTCCTCTAGTTATAATTCTGCTGCAGGCACAGATATACCTGGATCCAAGATATTGTTTGTGTTCATTTCAAGGACATGCTGGAATGATAAAGGCTCTTCTATAAACTTGATTTATAGATTTCAACAAAAGGCCGTCAAATTATTATTAATAAGCTACTTGTGCAACTATTCTCATTTGTGTTGTCTGTTGCATTTCAGACCATTTCTACTATTTATTTTCAGTTGATTGATGCATGAAAATAGGAAACAAACTTTCTTTCTTTGTTTTTCCTACTATGGAATGTAATGGTTACAGTTTTTAAGCTTTCTTCAAAATACCTTCTTTTGTGTTTAACAGAATAAAGAAACTCTAAGGTTTACAACCACTTGAGGGTGACTAAACAGTAAGGCCCAATCCCAGAGTGTGGTCAAGTGTGGTCCTGAAAAATCTTCGTTCGAAGGGCTATTCACCCCTTCCCCTTCCCCTTAGCCCTAAGCCTTCAAGCTAAAGAGAATTGGGACGCCTCTACCCATTGGCGGGCACGCGCAAAACGAGGGGTAGGGGTAAGGGGAAGGGCTGAGGGGTAGAATTGGGATTGGGCCTAAGTACATTTTCATTTTTCAGTGAACCAAGCCTGCAAACTAAAATTATCCATACAGTATAAACAGCTAAAGTCAGAATTATTAGCCCCTCTGTTTACATTAAAATATTTGTTTACAAAGATGCCAAAAATGGGCTGTTTAAAATATTATTTACAACATATATAATCTAGCTATTTTATTTACAAGAGAGACTGCTTATTTTCACATTTTAATATAAAAACACTGAAAATAAATAATTTTGTTTCCAAAAGTTCAAGTTATTTATTTTCACTTTTATAATAAAACCGACTGTTCGGTTTTTAGGCAATGTGTGTTTTAATTAAAAAAAAATGTTGATGTTCAATAAATAATTATAAGCTATGTTTCCATCCAAACATGCAAATTAACTTTATTTGCACATCTTTTATGTGATATTTCAGTTTTGCACATAAAGCAGCATTTCCATTCACGAGTCAAAGCGAATAAAATGGTCACTTCCTGCCCAACTGGCGCCAAATACCGACAGTAAAAATGGAATTTGCAGCGGTAGGAGAAGCTGAGTGAATCTTTTCTTCATTTAATAAATGACTCCTCAGAAGACAATCCAAACACGTAGTAAATGCGTGGTGTCGTTTGAAGGCATGGGACATGGAGCACAGACGGTCTTGATTCTGGAGGTCATTAATATTATAATAACACTACTGAGATGGTTAAGAGTTTTAGAATGAGAAAAACAACATTTTAGATGTTTTACAATGAGCTCAGCTTGCTGGTTTGTCCATTTACACATTTTTATCATCACATGATCTCAAAATCACAGTCTTTTTTTAATGTGCATACTGGAATTTGTTCGGTAAAAGTGTTTCCATCGTAGTTTATATGCATCTTTTCTTATCGAATAAATATGTTTATCCTACTTAGATAAGCGCATATTTGTTATATGCTCATTTTCTAAATTCATGCACATCTTGGTGTTTCCATCAACCGTTTTTTAATGCACATGTCCAAAATGTGAATAAAAAAGTGGATGAAACGTAGCTATAGATAGTAGATAATGTGTTTCCTTCAATTAATTTAAAATAAAGTAATACACCTTTCAGTCAGAAATCTCTCACTTGTAATATGTGAACATATTTACTGTACAAAACTTGTCAGAGAACAATGAGGGCAAAAAATAAATAAATAAAATAATCCTTCATTAATCGTAATAGAGTCAAAATGTTCAATTAATGGAGATTTTTATTTTAGGCCAAATTGCCCAGCCCAAGAACAGTGTGTTAAAGATTGAAACTATAATAGGGCATATGCCGAAGCATGCTAATAGGACTTTTAATTTGCCAGTAACCTGGGTTTAGCTCTTCCGGTGAACTGTATGCCAATGCAAAAATTGGCGCATTTAAGGTCAGTTTTCTTTAAAAATCAGCGACCTCCACTGGCTGAGTGATATCCGATATAAAGTGGGTCTCAGATTGCTCAAGAAGCACTACATTAAATTGCATTTCCTCGCCACGTCTTTATAATATGAGCATTTATTTTATCCCAGTATATTCAATGGAGCTTCTGCGCTAGCCTGCCGATTCTGACGGGCGAGTGCGAGTAAAAGGCCTTTTGTCTCGTTTTACACTTGAACAACTAAGTGAATGCCAAAGTCTGTTTAACTAAATGTATTTTAATTACATTACAACATCGATGCTGTAAAAGGAACCGTATAAAACGGAAAAAAAATTACAAAAACAGGTCACCGGAAGTTTATCAGTATGGGAACAACACTAGCTCGGCATCTTCCCCCTTTTTTTCCTACATTCTTTAGTGCAAAGGTTCATTTAATACTTAATATGACAGAATGAAAGCTCCAGCAAACCTGTAAGCTTACACAACCAAATTCATGCTGTCTGGATAACAAATTCATTTCAAAGCATAATCCTCAAATTCTTTTCAAGCGTCTTTAAGATTTTTTTGCATGAGAAAAGTGATGCTAACGTGCTACACTGAATAATCAATGAAATCCTTATAACCCCTAATGTCTTCAAAGTAAACCTTCACATAACCCACTTTTATGTTTCAGATGCATCAGCAACACTAGTTTTTAGCATAATCTGCAAGAATTTTAGTTAGAATCAGATGTGTATTATCCTGCCCTACAGACCTTTAATGAGCTGCAAACTTTCAAAATATGCACTAAATCATATCCATATGCAGTAACAAACTCACAAAGATGCGTACTAAAACATACACAATAAAGTCTTCCTTAAAATATGACATAAAGGAAAAGGAAAACATGACCTAAATAAAACTAAATATGCAAAAAAGCACACTTCACATCCATCTTGAATGAGCTTTAGTTGACAGTGTAGACAAAACAGTGAATGTGTCGTTAAATGTGCCAGGGGGAGCCAAACAAGCAAACAAATTTATCACTTTTTTGCCAGAAATAGGTTACACAGGAGACCCACAGACAGCTGGTAGACTTTATAAAAATGTGCCAACTGTTTTCTTTAACTTTATCGCTCCTATTGACAAGATAGTTCATCAATTAAACGATGACACTTTCCTTTTGTTGATGAGTTTTTTTAGGCAATCTGTGTTTTGGTGTATTGCAGTAGGGGAAGCCCTAGTGCATGTCCTGATTGAGTTTCAGGATTTCTAAGTCTCCCAGGTATGAAATACAAAGGTGACCAGAGTAAGTGTAGATTAGAACACATGTAAAAATGTAAAAATTATCAGAGCTCGCCAAAGCAAAATTATCTGTCACTGTCAACCTTGACAAAATAATATGTATTTCACACCCACACAAACTATGTATAAAATACAAAATATGTATTATACATTTATACACACACACACACACACACACACACACACACACACACACACACACACACACACACACACACACACATACACACACACACACACACACACACACACACACACACACACACACACACACACACACACACACACAGGGTTTTTAGTTAGTTAATAAATATTAACTAAATATTATATAAATGCTTCAGTATACTAACTGACAGTTATTATTGAGCAGGTATTTCTGCTGTTTTGCTATATTTTGTGAACAAAAACACAAAACAAAAAACAAAATAAAACATGAATTTATTACTGGAGATAAAAACCTCTAGGGCTCAATGGTGCACTTTTTAAGACTTGTCGCCACCAACTGGTGTTTTTTTTTTTTTCATATTCATGTCTGATTTCATAAGTATTCACAGTGCGCACACTGAAATGATTGCACAGAAATCTCTACATACCATTTGTCTGTCTCAAATTGAGTAGAATACTGCGTCTATTAGACAGGTTTATTCAGTTTAATAAATAACTTCTGTAATTTATTGTGCTTAATTTTTCAACTTTTTACCAATATGGCTTTTCATAGAATGTGACACTAGTGTAAATAAACAGATGAGCTATCATGTATACAAAGGTGCAGCATACGTTTGACACCAAGTGGTTGAACTAGGTATTGCACTCCTGGTTTAAAACACACAAGCGCAGGTTGCCAGAGTGTGACTGACTATCGAACCTTAAAGGGTCACGAAACACCAAAACACATTTTTTGAGCTATTGACAGTCGTATATGTGTCCCACACTGCTAAAAACACTATTAGGACACCTATATTTCACTAAAAAGTGTAAATTGGTTGTTTTTGCGTTATTTCAAGCAAATTCGTACTTCCTGTTTGAAACGAATTTTTGAAGCTGCGTCACGGTCATGACATAATAGCGTGTATTCCAGCGTGCAGACTGGACGTCTGTGCCAGAGTGTGTCTTATTACGTCTTACAGTGTGATGCATTAATGCATGAGTAAGCCTTGGTTCAAACCAATCAGCGCGCTCTATTGTGCAACTTCATTAATATTCATTAGTGTCACCGTCTTTACACCACAGAGACGCCACGTTGTGTTGGCAAAACAAGCGTGAAGTGTTGCTTTTAAATTTTGCTGCAGTTAAGTTTCGTTTTCATTTTCTCTCTGTGAGAGCTCAGACTCACGTGTGGATTAACAGTGTACGCGACGCGCGACAACAATAACTTACGTGTCTAAGGGGGATTATTGTTTACCTGAGAGCTGTTCTCATCTGCAAACGCTGAGATCCGGATTCCGGATGTAGTCTTCTCTTCAGACGCGGCTCTAGTTGCTGGTGATTGTTCTGTCTCTACAGATTTGGTAAGTGAGCGACCAGTGCTCTTTGTTTATTCAGTTTGTTCGTA